TACGAAGTGTTTTGCTCAAAATACCAAACAGATCATTCTAGCCTCAAATCCCTGTTTCAGCTTTTACTAAAGGGCTGATTCTGGGACAGTAGTTAAACAAAAACAGGATGGAGCTCAAACTCTCTCTCTCTCTCAGGTTTACCACAAGGTGACTTCCTTTTGATTTCCTGCTTCTTCACACACACTCTCTCCAGTACAGGTTAGCTCTGAGTGTTAGCATGCTAATGTAAACACAGACCATATTACTTCCAGAACACATCTCATTGTTTCTGACAGCGACGTTTCTGATTGGCTCGTGGGGGTAAAGCCCGCCCACATTTTAGTAATGTGGTCATGACGCAGCAAATCTGGATCAGCTCCGTTGTTCCCCGTTTTTAGAGATGTGGGTACGGAGGAGAAGAGAGAGGGGTTTATTTCCTGACACTTTGAGAGTCTCCTGACACACCGGGACACACTGGGGACACACTGGGGACACACCGGGGACACATGGTGATGTAGAAAAAACATCAAAAAGTGAGTTTTGCATGATAGGAGACCTTGAAGTCTATTCTAGTGCATACAAACATCAACAAATGCAACAACAGCAACGTAAAAACTAGATCTCATGAGCGAATTCTAAATGTATTTAACTTGCGTTCTCTCTCCCTCTCTAGCTTCTGCAGGACGTAAACTCCCAGAAGTCCAAGCGGCAGTGGAGCAGACTGGAGACGCGCGTTTCTCTCTGGAGGAAATGTCACGATCAGCTGCAGGACGACGGCATCGACCCGGAGCCGGCGTCCCTCTTCTTCCTGTCGCAGGCGAAGAAAGATTCCGGGGGGGCGGAGCTTCTGGAGGTGCAGGAACGCTGCCTGCTGCTCCTCCTCTCCTCCCATTGGTTGTCCAGACTCGTCCCGGCTCCAAGGGGCCGCCTTGAGAGCCTGGAGAAGCAGCTGTGGGCGGAGAGGGTGAGGGGGCGAGTCTTAGCCGGCGCCACGGAGAAACAGAGCGTATTCAACCTGTCAATCACCCAGGAGACGACCTCATCGTACGAGCTGATGGTGAAGGAGTTCTGCTTCTCCAACATCCCCTGCATGAAGGAAGAGGAGGAGGGCCTCATGGCGGAGGAGGGCCTCAAGGCGGAGGAGGGCTTCAGGGCGGAGGAGGGTCTCAGCACGGAGGCGGGTCTGAGCAAGGTGGAGGGCCTCAGCGTGAAGGAGGGCCTCAGCAAGGTGGAGGGCCTCAGCGTGAAGGAGGGCCTCAGCACGGAGGAGGGCTTCAGCATGAAGGAGGGCCTCAGCGTGGAGGAGGGTCTGCGCATGGAGGAGAGCCTCAGCGTGGAGGAAGGTCTAAGCATGAAGGAGGGCCTCAGCGTGGAGGAGAGTCTGAGCACGGAGGAGCTGCGTGAGGAGGACACGCTGAGTCCAGAAGAGAGGTGCATCCTGGGAACGCTGGTGGATCAGCTGTTGGATGAAGGCAGCATCCATGAGGCCAGCAGGGTGTGCAGGTACTTCTCTCTGCAGCACGGAGACATGAAGCTGGTGCTGCGCTGCAGGGGGATCGCCTCTGGAGATCTGAGGCCACAAACAGAGGAGGAAGAGGAGCAGGAGGAAGATCTGCAGAAGAAGATCACCAGCTGTAAGCTCGACCCTTTGATTATATATAAATATTAGGGCTTTTTCAACTCTAAAGGTCTCCTATCATGCAAAATGCACTTTTTGATGTCTTTTATACATAAATATGTGTCCGTACCCACATCTCTAAAAACGGGGGAACAACGGAGCTGATCCAGATTTGCTGCGTCATGGTGACATCACTCAAATGTGGGCGGGCTTTACACCCACGGGCCAATCAGAAACGTTGCTGTCAGAAACAATGAGACGTGTTCTGGAAGTAATATGGTCTGTGTTCACATTAGCATGCTAACACTCAGAGCTAACCTGTACTGGAGAGAGTCTGTGTGAAGAAGCAGGAAATCAAAAGGAAGTCACCTTGTGGTAAACCTGAGAGAGAGAGAGAGTTTGAGCTCCATCCTGTTTCAGAGAGAATCCTTGATGTGGTTTGGAACATGATGTGGAGTTTCATCACGGCAGCATTTAGCTGAGTTTCTGCTGGGAGAGTTCTCCTGATGAGATCTACTCTCTCTCTGAAGCTACTGACCCAGAGTCAGCTCTTTAGGAACAGCTGAGAGAGGGGTTTGAAGCTAGAATGATCAGAGACATGTTTTTTTATCAATTTCTATATATCTGAGACCTATAATATATGCCTAAAATAGGATACTTTTAAATCCACGTTTCCTCCCGCAGTGCCCTCGTTCAGCAGCCTCTCGTCCTTCGTGGTTCTCCCCCTCCCTGAAGACCAGGTGGCCATGCAGCTGCAGAAACTGGTGGATCAGTGCCGGCACGGAAACAACTTCTGCAGACAAGTCCTCAGCCTCTACCAGCTCTCCAAGGTGAGATCAGATCAGATCAGATAAGATGGAACTTTATTTAATGATATACTGTTAAGTAACTTTAAAATAAGAAATGAATTAAAAT